TGCAGCAGCTGCATGCTTCACCAACGCTGCAACCAAAAAACATGTTGTGCAGAAGGCTTGAATCACAGAATGTTAGCTCTCGGGACGCGCGCATATGCAGAGGTGGGAAGGCAGAATTCTTGGGAAAATGGATCCAGCTTTAAGATTTATGGGAAGCAAGAATTTGAACTGAAGTGTTAAGTTCAGTGGCCCATCTAAGGACTGGCGTGCTCACATATGCCACAGATACCAGATACCAAAAAAAAACCGATATGGATGAATTTCTCCAAAGCCTGTGTTTCTCTTTTAAGGCATAGCCCTTCGGCCGCGGGCTGCGTCTAGAGGTCTCTTGAAAAGCTGCCGCTTGTGGGCCATCGGAGCAGAGGAGGTTCTTTCAGCAGCTCCAAGAAACTCTTCTGCTCCACGGGTTTGCACATTATCAACCTGCCATCCTTGCCGGAACAGGAGGCATTTCAAACTCCACCCTGTCCGAGGCGAAGTGATTTGCATGAACACTCATAGCTGAAGCATCTGATGGCAACAGCTTTGTCCAGGCTGCGGCGAGAGTTTCAACACTCCAAAAGCTTCACAGCTCCATTGCATGGCCACCTCGGCACTAGCTCCAGCGTACAGGGCATCTTGGCTGAGCAAAGCATGTTTGAGTGACATGTTCTCGAGACGCAGATCAGGTACCACCTGTTGGTGTGGGAGGTACTGGCTGTCCTGCAAGGCTTGCAAGGCTTGCAAAGGGTAAACAAGTCCCCAGGCCCCAGGCCTTTTTTGGCATACTCCTCGTAGTTTCGACTCACCTTGCAGGTTTCGATTGATTTTCCTTCTGCGCAGTTTCATCAAGCCCTCCCCGCCTTTTTCCAGTTGACAAGATTCCAGAAGGCTGAGACCTGTACAAATGTTGCAGTGTTGGCCGGAGGGTTTTTTAGTGACCCAACTCTGCTCTTCAAAATCTGTGCAAACACGGAGGTAACAGCTGAGTCACATATTCTGCTCGTCGGTTCTGGTACTTCAGGTAATAAGCGTGCTCCCAAACATCCAAACCCAAAATTGGGATCATCTTCTCAACGCTGTACTCCAGACCTTCCAGCAGCAAGCGTGCAAATCAGGAAAGATGTGAGCAACCCCAGTTGCACATATCAGGCCTTCCATCAGCGGATTGTCCTGCAGTTGGAGAGCTTGATCAAACAGATATTGAAACCAAAACTGGCCCGCCTGGTTGGCAGTTGAAGTTACGGCCAAGGAGCCCTGCGATGCTTGCTTCGGCTAAGTCTTCAAACAAACACGACCTGGCTCCCCTCAAAACGTGCAACCAGCATGCATCCAGCATGCAAGAGGCACTGAGCATGCTTTACGTGACATCCTTTGCTGCATCTGCCTGGGGCGTGACGCCCAGCCACGCCCAGCCGCTGCCGAAACGACCCATGGCTGCCTTTGCAAAGGCCTGGTCGGAGCAGAGTTCAGCAACTGTGAAGTCCCTTTGATTTGAGTCCTCAAGTCCCCGCCTCCTTAAGCCCATCAAGGCTTCCAAATTTGTCATCTATTGCCGCAGCAAGATCTGGGGAAGGTTCGGAGGATCCGCTGGCTGCTGCCAGGTTGACCTCCCAAAACAGCTGCAAGCCTTCTAATATCTTCATCATGCTTTGCTCATAGCACTCTAGATGCGCCCAGGAACCCAGAATAGCGCATGGTTATAATGCCCACCACCATGGTTCCGCTGCGCAGTCCCCGCTTTCACAGCATCGCGCTGTAAAGCTGTCAGGGCCGCCATACTTCCTTGGCACGCGCACACTCTCCTCCGTGAGTGAATAGAATACAAGAAGGTGCAGTTTCCCCAACTTTGTGATTTGATCTGTTTGAAGATAGGTATTTAGTCAGAAAAGGAAAGAGCACGACTCCAGCAAGAGCTGCATGCAAATTGCATCCAGTTGCCATCCTTTGCCGTCTTTCCCACCGCAGCATTCAAGCCAGCAACATAAGCAGCGTGATGCTTCCTCCGATTCTCAGGCCCTAATTGGAAATCAGTCAGGACTGCGCTTTCCGTTCCAACAGAGCGGGCCCAAGCTGTCAGGACCTATTGCAGCCAACGGTCCCATGATGAACCTTCATGGTTGCAGCATCAATGTGCGGCTCCAGCGCATCATACCTGAGGCAGAAGGTCAACTTGTCCGATTTGCAGCCGCACACATGATGCGGAACCAATTCTTGTGCGTCCGAACTTAAAATCATGGCCCATGTAACTCACACAAGAAGGACTTGCATAATTACTCGCCAAGTCCTCACCCGGGAGACTAACACGAAAACGACCGCACGTAAACCCTCCTCCACTATAAGCAGCGCGGCTCATACGGCAAAGCGGGTAAGGTGAAAACATCGGCCGCATGCAAGCCACTTGCTGCAATTGATACCAAGCAAAAGCGAAGCCCAGCCATGGCTCTGAGAGGTCTCGAGACCCACAGCTGCGGTGCGTGCACTTCGCTACTACGAAGCTATGGGCTTGCTGCATTGCTCGCTGAGGTTACGCTGGTCAGGTTCCTGCCTCTGCCGCAGCTGTTTCCACGCGATTTTGAACAGATTCCTCCCAGTGGGGGCTGTTCATCCTGGCACATCTGCAACCCGTGTGTCGGCTTTGAACATGTCAGATCATGCCACCACGAATGGGCATGGCCTCAATTGTGTGTGAGCTGGTGCATCCTGGTACCTAAACAGCTGGCAGAACCAGCTACAAAGTTTTAACATGCTCTCATGGCTTTCTTTCTTCGACCAACTTGGCCAGTTACACGCCATACTCGAAGGCAATGGCAGCTTGTGTCAGAAGCTTTTCGCAGAAGTCATTGTTGAGGTAGAAGGCCTCGAACAAATGCACACAGGGCAAGAAGAAAAAGACGGCGGAAGAATGCGAGGCAGGTGCCGTACAAAGCTCGGGAGACTTGGCAAAGGTTTGAAGCAAAACCTTCTCTGCCTCAGTGTGGCGGAAACGAAACTGCCTTACAGGGCGGGATCTCGAGCCCAAGGCCTCATAAACGTTGGTAGGCCAAGAAGGCTTTCCTCTGCACACTCAACAGGCTAGATCTCAATAGCAACCAGGGAATAAGCAATCCCACTGTCCATGGATCCACGGCCTCGCATGTGATGCTTGACACGTACCCGAAGGATTCTTCGGTCCTGCAGCATCTACACGACAGCTTCGCGCTGCAAACTTGAACAAGCCTAGCATGAAAATCTGTTGACTCTTCACAGTCCAAGCGCACCTCAGCGCTCAAATGTCTCTTGTAGTTGGAGCACATGTTGTCCGGGTCACGCGTGGAGACAGGGTACTGGACCTGAATCGAAGGTGCAGTCCGAAGATCCATAGTGAATCTTTATCTGCAAGAGGAGGCGAGGAGCACAAGGTGCAGTGGTCTCCAAGATTCCAGCCACTGAACTGATGCTGTTTCCCGTGCCTAGTTGTCCTTGCAGTGTTGCCTTGCCGAGGCAGGACACTACTGAATTTCTGCGATCATGTGAAATCTGGTGCAATTTGTAGGCGAGCTTTTTTCATGCTTCTGCGGACCAGAACAGCGACGAGACAACATTCCTTGGACGAAGACTTGGTCGATCTTGAAGTCCTCTAGGCTCGCCGCGCCACTACCATGTAGAGAATCCCGTGCCGGACTCGTGCCGTCGACCCATGGCTGGGTTCGCGATAATGAACGTCTTGAACTTGCCCCAAGCTCGAGGTTCGTGCCTCCTAGCCCCCATACAAGAACTTCTTCAATGCTTCGACATACTTGGTGCTGGAGGAGATATCGTTGTGGCCTTTGCCAAGCTTAACAAGGCGTCGTGTTGCAGACACTGCGGCATCACAAAGCCGATGCCCATGGCCAACCGGAATGATGGTGTCCAGCTCCCCATGAAGAATCAATAGTCTGCCCGTGAAACCACGAAGTTTATCTTCGCTTCCCATCATGTGGACAAAGCTTGCCAGGTCAGCCTCCTGAATCAACTCTTGCAGGTGACTGTCCGCCGAGGACTGCAGCAATGCTCGGCAGACATCTCCAGCCTGCGAGACTGCTGCAGTGAGTTCGGCAGGGGCAAACCTGCTTCCACCCCCACCCATCCCACTTCCGTCTGGAGGAGGTTCTGGAGGGGGTGCTGCTCCAGGCGCATGGCTCCCACACATTGTTGACTCCAGCACCACTCCATCGAAAAGATCACCACAAAGGCCAGCCAAGTGGCAAGCACAAATGCCGCCCATCGAGCGACCAAACAGAAAGAAACCACCCGGCCAAGGCCACGGCAGAGCACGGCTTCTGAAAAACTCAGGCAAAGCGTCGCAAACACGCTCTGCATCCACGTTCATGGAAGACGTGGATGGTCCACTGCTGCCCAAGGAGAAACCGTAGCCGCGAAAGTCCACCACAAGCACACTTGCCTGGGCTGCTTGGAAGGGCGCAAAGATCTCTGGATCTTTGTAAGTGTCAACATTCTCAGCGTTCCCGTGGAAATACAGGACCAAGGGGGTTGCCTTGCGAGGGGCAGCTGAATCCATTTGTAAGAACAGGCGTACCCCCAGAGATATGTCATCGATGGTGGGAATCCGAGCATCAATCTGTCTCAGTCCTGGCCGTAACTCAACATCTGGGGAAAACTCTGCAGAGCTCGGGGAGAAGTGCCCGGCGGTTCCAGTCATCCATCCCGCAACGAGTGTCACTGCATCGGGCGAGGAATGCGCTGCAAGCGCCGCGGCTGCCGGCCAGCGGCCTAAGCAAATCTGGAGCGCTAGCAAAGCCTTGGCCGCTGGCTCGGAAGGCTCCGAAAGCCCAGTTTTAGCCGCTTCCAGCGCCCTAAGGCTCTGACCAAAGCGGTGCCACTTCCACATCACAAGCCCGCGAGCCAAATGGATCAAAGCATCTGCAGGTCCTGTAACTGTAGCTGCTGTAGCTCCTTGACGGCCAAGGGCTTCGCCAAGCGCTTCGAGGGCTTCATTAGCTTGAGCATCTGTCGCACCACTTCGCAAAGCCGCCCTGACCGAGTGTTGCCACTGTGGCACTTTGCAGACCACCTCCAAATCGCCCTCCACCTGGTCAGTGTCAGACAGGATGCATGTATCAGGATCTCCCGCTTTCTTGAAACCCTCCAGATCCAGATCCAAGCAGGTCCAAGTACGGCGCTTCAGCAGGAGGCTTTTCAATTCTGTGAGGGTAGTCACCTTGCTCACGGGAACCTGCTGCACTGTCCCGCTGCCCAGGTGGATCGCAATGCTACGAGCAATCAATGTATCTGTTGGCTCTGCCAAATCCTTGCCAGCTACCTGCAAACTGATCCAGCCATGGGATGGGCCGCAGCCATCCAAGAGCTTAAACAGCATGCGCGATCCTCGCAGCTCCACCTCTTCCACAAGCGTTCCTGTTGCAAGTCGCGATCGGAGCTGTGGGGACTTCAAGCCCTCTCCATCTCGCACCACGATCCCACCTTTCCCTGCGCCACCCACAATCCTCCAAACCTGTGGCATAGCTTCTGAACTGAACAGGATGCACTCCAGGGCCTGGAAATGCTAGAGCTATCTAGAACTATAGCTCCAATTCTTATGAATCAACAAGAACGGCAGCACGTACTGATGAATGTGCTGAATTTGATTTGAGAAAAGGCTGCAAGCAAGAGGTCCCAAGTTACGTGGGGCAAGGGAGGCAAAAATCACGTCAGCTTTCGGCCGCAAGTGCCCTTCCATGCCTTCCGACGTGCCTTCCATGCCACAGCCGCTGCTTCATTCATTGGTGGCATAACCTGCGTAGACCATGTGTGTGAAAGACAATGATGTACATCTGGTTGCTAAGCTCGAAACCACATGCTTGCCCACTGTATGAAATGGATCAAACTGTCGGTTGACCCAGGGACCGCCCTCAGCTAATACATGGCGTTGCATGCGTTGCTCTGCGTGGTTCTGTGCAGAATGCTTTGCATTCTGATGGGCCAGGCTGGCTGAGCTCCAAGGACTGGCGAAGACGATGAAGCTGTCAAGCCCTGCGCAAACCAGAAGCTGAAAACGCTCCCCTTGAAAAAGCACAGCAGCACAGCCAGTGAACCAGCCTGCGAGCTTGCCATATGGTCCCCCCCCCTAGTCAGGGCGGGTCCGCAGTTCGGACCCCGACCGGTATCTTCCCCGGCCTCCTCTACACGAGCTTTGCCTTTGTGAAGTGCGAGTGGCACGGCCACGAAAACTCCGCAGGGCTGCCCAAATTGGCGCTGCATGCAGTCGGGACTCTGCATCCACACCCCTACCACAAAGACGAGCGGTGTACCCATGCAAAAAGGCGCTCCTTTCTGTCTCAACAACGGTCTGGGCTGCCTCAGCCTCTTGCAGCTGGCTAGCCAGCACTGCCATGGAACCTACATAACCAGAATCCGAGTTGCTGCAATTCCAACTTGATTTTTCTCACAGTGCCAATGCTGGCCCGGACGGGCCTGGAGCTTTTCCAAAACGGCTTATTGCAGGAGGTCCCGGAATCAACGGCAGCAAGCGTATAACATGCTCTGGATTGCTTGATCAAGCCTAAGCTACATTCAGCAAAATCATGTTTGTATGGTTGCCTCCTAGCTGTGGCAGCACCACCCAACACCTCACAGGAGGCCAGTTGGAAGACTGCCATTACACTTTGCTGTACATGGAGCATGAGAATGCCATTCTTGCCGGACTTTTTCCAAGGCTCAGGACTCTTAAATCGTACTTGGGAGGAAAATTGAATCTCTGAGCCTTCCAACAGCATACTGCTTGCATGCCATGAGAAAGACCTTGACATTCCGAATTCCCGGACGTGGTCACGAATGATCTGGCTCCCTGCGTGTAAGCAACTCGAATCAAGGCTTGCCATATCCTATCACTCTCTCCGAGCTCATGACGTCCACGCCTACTCTTACCCAGAGTTTTGTTCTGGCATTATTGTTCAAATGGACCTTGTTGATGATCTTGGGCAGATTCCGCAGCAATACAAGGAGACTTATGCTGGTTTCTGTGTTCAAGTTCTACCCTGTGCGTGCCATGCAATTCCGTCATGTTCTACCCTTTCCGTTCCACATTCTGTTCCATCTTGACCAATGCAATGTTGCATTTCTGGTTCCCCTCTGGGTATTTTCCCATTCTGCAGTCCATTGCTTTCCAATTTTGTCTACAAGAAGACAATTCCCGCCCGCTTGCTCCTAGACAAAGCCACCCAAAGCGAAAGCTGTTGGGGTTGCTCGCTTCATGGCTCTGATTTGCCCGATGTCTATCACCATCGTCTATCACCATTTCTTCTACGAACAGCAGCACCAATATTGCCACTACTTCAGGCACCATTTCCAGCTGAATCTCCTGTTGCATAAACAGTCATGAAGTGCACCCATTCTTCGGCGACTCGCAGTATTCGTATTATAATCATGACTATGCGAGCGCCATGGCTGCAATTTCATGCTACTTGAAACCATTGGCTATTCTTGGCATGCCCGCAATAGGGATACTTAAGCTTGGTGGAATTCAAGGGCCCCAAAAGAGACTGAACAACTTTCATCATTCTTTCTTTCCTGCCTGAAAGCTCCGCGTGCTCAGCGAATGATGCCTGGCCAGTCCAGGGGGAGGAAGACGTCTGCATCTTCCTCCTGAACTTCAGCCATGTCAGGTGTGCGGTTCGGATTTCAGGGCAACTCCGCAGCTTATCATAGTGTCAACAAGTGCAATTTCACAGTAAAAGCAAGTAGAATTCTGAATCACTTCACTGATAGCAGCTGCAAAAACATCACTCAGAATGACCATCGCAATTATGGTAGACGAAACGTTCTCATCTCCCACGGGTCTCCAGACAGCATCACGAGACCTCTAAGCCCTCTGCAGGCCATTGAAGAAGACAGGTCTAGGTTTGAAAGGGGCTCTCCCTACCCCATGCGTAATCATCCCCATAAGCCCTACTACAACAGTCCCTGGCCGACATCTGGAATTCCTATCATGCCTACAATCAGAATAAAATTCCCTCTCATCCCTGTTACCCCCAACACCACAGTGCTGCCCAGTGGCGCCAGAGTAGCTGAACGAGGGCGGTGACTTCTCAATCTCCTCGGCCAAGTCGATGAGCTCGCCCTCTCTTCCTTCATGCCTTGGAAGGGGCAAGGAATGGCGGGAATAATCCAAAAGAAAATGGAAACTGCTGCAATTTAGTGGGGTAGATGTTGGGAGTGTGGTAGGGAATCAAGGAATATGTTGTACAGGGTGCTCCCCAGTGGAATGATGACACGTTCCAAAATGAAAAGTCAACAGAAACGGCAATGATATGTTGATGGCGGAAGAAGCAGGGGGCTAGCAATATTTGAGAGCCATGTGTTGACCGGGCAAAAAAATTCCGAGTACGGCTGCAAAAACGAACCCAGCTTTGCTATTGAATTTTGCCAGGACGTTCTCATCACACAGAAGTTCCCCCATTCAGCCCAGGTGCAGATACTTGACCTTTGATGCAGAGACTGAGTCTACTGGAAACACTCAGTGTGAGAGCCGAGGGCGCACCGTGCAGTTGCATGTTCATGAACTCTGCGCCATGCGCAACTGCTTCTGAAATGCAACAAAGAAGCTTGGAGCAGGAATGTCATCTTCTTTGTAAGCTTGGGCTGGTTCGACCCCTCGACAAACTCGAAGACGGATGCCTGCACGCTTCTAGCAACTGGCTAAAGCACCTCCTTCTGCTAAATCATTGTCATGCATCCCTGCCTTCTGTCGAATCTCCTCAAGAGTCATTCCCCTTGCCTTCAACTCCTGCACACTCACTTCTAGACCAGGTTGCTGTTCAGGATTTTTCCGAAGCTCAACCATTTCTTGCCCTTCGAGCGTAGACTCCTATCGTTTGATTCCTCCGCGGCCTTCTACAGGCATGACCCTGCCCCTACTCCCATTTTTGCAGTGTGGCATGCTACTGACCCCTAGGTTCTATTCCGGGGGTTTGGGGCAGCGGAGGGGAGGGGAGGAGAATACCACCGTAATCCACTGCGTAGCATTCTCAACTCAGCTGCGCCCGTCATTGATCAGGTGTCTCTCGGCCCCGGCGAAGCGCAACTGCGGTTCGGCACATGATCAAAACTGGGAGAGATGCATCACAACAGAAGGCACATGTGAGCATCATGAGTGGATGAAGCTTATGAAGAACAACTCAACTCAAGAGGGCCTCCCAGCAGGCCCGATCGTAGTCCTTGGGATTCCTCAGTACTGCAACCAAAAAATGATAAACTGAGATGGTCGCGTCACATCCTCCGCAGCACAAGCTGAAAGAGGTGTTCATAGAAACCCACTGCGAATCCTTTTCCTACAACCCTCTGCGAATCCTTTTCCTATAGCTCCCCAGGAATCCCGAAATTTGGCGAGCCTGACTTTAGTGTGTGGATTCTGCGCCACGCCCCCGCTGCATTGGAGAACGGACTGGCATCTTGATCTGATTCTTCGAAGGTGAAAAAGCTGAACTGGCACCAGCCAGTTATTGTTGTACTACATACTTTAGAAGCAAAGATGGCAAAACTCATGAGTGTGCAATCATTGAGGATGCATGCTGTGAGGGCCTTTGCCCGCATACCTTTAAACAGTTGAAGTAAGCTGCCCAGCCAAGTTATTGGCGAGATAACAGAGGATGGATGGTTGTGCTGCGCGAGCCCTGAGGAAGTGCTGGTAGAAATCGAAGGCATCATGGAACAGCCAGTATGTTTGCAAGACGCAGAAGATTGGCTGTTTTGACAAAAATGTCCGTGCGTGGAGAAGTGTGCTCAAGCAGTTGATCCGAGACGGAGCGATAATTTGGAACGTGCAGGACTGTCGTGCTGTGCGGTAGTTAGCGGTTGTGGGCTACTCACCACAAGCGGCGGGTATGACTCCAAGACCTTGGATGTGTGACAGCATGCGCTGTTCTTGATTGGCTGCGAGCCACCAGGAAAGGTGTTACATCAGTTGGACTTTGATTTGCAACAGCCACCGCTTCAACTGCGCTAGTGCTGTAGGTATGCCGCTGCCCTTCTTAACATCTTGAAGGGTGTTGTACCTTGTTCAGTTTGAAGCTGCGGTGTGTACCATACCTGCGGCCCACAGTCAGCAAAGCAAGCCATGCTTCACAAGACTGAACGAAAGAATTTTATTTAGTGCAGCGATAGATAAAGCTTTTGCACCTTTACCTCGGAGTTAAGTCCCGGATTCTTTTTGTTGAGATGCGAGATGCATTCAATTTTGTGAGGCATGCTGCCTGGCGCAGCCTGTCTGGCACCGCGCGATTGAATCATGTACGTAGGCAGTCATGTTTTGCCATGTAAAGCAGGCACTAAGCAAATGACGGAGAGGTCATCACCACTCACAAGATTCCAGTGCTTCTCGTTTCTGACAATTGATTGTGGTTGCAGGGAACTGTGCCCGAGGCACAGCGGTTGCGAGGTATTTGCTTTTCCCAGCTGAGCAGCCAGTTGGGGTTCTCCTTGTAGCCAAGCTCTGTCAGATAGCCTTCCTTCTGCCACCACCACCTCGAATGTGAGAAACGTATCAAAAAGGAAAGGGTTCGTTTAGGTTGAGGCAAGTAGGGCTGATTCCTTTGGACACTGTTTGGAAATTCTATCGAGACCGACTACAGCTTCAAGAAGAAACTGCTGAAAATGGCATGGCCAAGCAACTTGTTCATGCTGGACTCCTTCCACTCATCTGAATCCCTAAGCACCTCCTTGCTTGCGCCGGTGACCGAAATCCGCCTTCAGGTGTAGAACAACTGGCTTTCACAAAACACGTCAAATGCGCAAGAGGCGTTACAAAATAAGTCAAATACGCAAGAGGGTTACAAAGTAAGTCAAATATGCAACAGGGGTTACAAAATAAGTCAAATACGCAAGAGGGGTTACAAAATAAGTCAAATACGCAACAGGGGTTACAAAAGAAGTACAATACGCAAGGGGGGTTGATGTCGTGAGATAGCATGGCCTTGCTGACAAAGCAGGCTCGCGCGTGGTGGGGCTGACACCCACAAAGTCGAGCGTCTTCTGCAGGCCTGAACTCCGGAATACCAAACAGAAAAAGAAGAATCATCCACAGGATGGCTGAGAAAAGTGCTGCAAGCCAGCCATGCGGCGGCAGCAAGCGCAAGCAGGATTGGACCTTTCCAGGGAACACCGAACCTGCAACAACTTCAACAAGAGTGGGGTGTCGGATTGCCAAGCGGCGCTTGTAAATCTTGCCCTTCAACATGGTTGCAAGTGGGTCTTCAAAAAGCAGTCTTCGTACTTGAGCCAAATTTCACGAGACCAGTAAATGGAAACCAAGTCCGACAGCTATCCAGCTTAGACATGAACCAAACTAGACACTGCTAACTTTTGCTCGAAGGCGGTTGTGGCGAGTCTTTGGACAGCGCTGTCGCCATCATGTTGGCCAGAGGGTTTCTCAAGTAATCCTTCTGTCCGATCTTGCTCCACATGACACGCTTCAACATGATACCAAGCCTTACTCAATGCCTCACCTGATCTGAATCTCACTACATACACGCTAACATCCGTGGCAGCGCTGCCATTCTCACTTGGAAGCCCTGAAAATTGCGTCACGAAGGTTGCACTGTGCCCGGCTTGTGGCTCACGCTGATTGACCGGAATTCTTCCTGGCTCTGCAGACCATGCTTTCAAGCAACTAGATCGGAAATGGGTTGCGTGTGCAGCCCGCTTCTTCCAACTGCTAAGCACTGTCTGTGACTTTGTCCTCGGTCATCAGAGGGGCACCATCATCCTCTAGCTCAGCTGATGGCGGGGGCGGAGGATCTTTGCCATCCTGTCCGAGTGGAGATCTCTTGCATGTACGTACGTACGTAAGTAACGCATATGATATACAGAACATCATGTATCTGTTTAGATAGGGGCATACTGCATATACCTATGCATACATGTTTGCGGCGAATTAGCTTGCATGTGATCGTTTACAGGAACAGCTACACGTTCATTCAAAGGCCAGCGGTAAAATCCTCCAACACTCCGCACTGGACGATTCGGATTGGTACAGCCGGGCGCCCAACCTTAGCATGCAACAACATCAAGCGGTTCCAGGACTTGGGAGCTTCGGACTTTCAAGGGTTAAAATGCTCGGCTGGAATCCTGCGATGATGGCATCGAATTTGCTGGCGTGTTTTCAGCTTACATGATCTGCACTCCCGGATGCAACTTGAAGGGAAGAGGATGGACCATCAATGCCAAAAGATCATCACAAACACTACACTTGACTGTAGTGCTTTCAAGAGACTCTGGTGCCCAGCTCGCCAATCTCCCGAACTACACGCATGCCTTCAAGTGCAACATCACTAGAGCTTGAAACTGCAGTATTCTCAGGACAGCCTTTCATCACCGTGCCAAAACACACGTGGTGGTTTGTGAAGGCGCGCTGCTGCCTTGAATTTGTAGCAAAGTCATCAGAGTTTCTCATATCTGGCTTCTGAATGAGGCCACGGCGACAAAGTGATCATCCAAATGGAGGAGTTTGTGTTCTTGCCCCAGTTGCACATCGCCTCAGCGACGAACCACAAGGGTGGAATGGGAAACCTGCGAGATGACGATGATGATGCCCCGTCTGGGATCTAGTGCTAAATCTCCGTCACGCAGAAAACTTATCTCGAAGTTCTCGTCTGGAAAAGCCTTTGCATAAAAGCATCAGTTCTGTTTCGACAGGTTCCACCTTCCTAAAGAAAGCCAGCAGCAGCCTCTCCATAGATGCTCAATCCACGGGTTCTCCCCGTGCCATCTAAGACGTCACCACCTACATCACTTGCTGTTGAGATGTATGCACCACGATGACAAAGCGCAAAAGCGCCTACATTCAACAGCTTAACATTCCCTCTTGCGATGTGAACTACGTCGTGATGCCTGCGATTGCACATCCCGATTTGATCAGGTGAATGTTCGTGTTCTGGTAACCTGGCCAGGCCGAACGTCAACATATTGCTGATAGCCAGTGCAAAATGCTGTCACTGCATAAGACATGGCAGCAAAAACCAATGATGCGTTCCTTTATCCGGTAACCCTTGCCTCAGCTGTTGTTCATCAATGTCCAGGTTGGCCAGTCCCCCCTTTGCGACTATGGGTCTTGAGCACTTGGCAAAGTTGAACGAAATTCTCACAGGTGAGAGGGACCTCAAAAAGGAGGACGTGCAGTATTGGCACAGCCGCTCACAGTGAGTCTGAGATGGTCACTGTGTCTGAATACAGGCCGACAACAACGCGCCCTGCATAGCGATTGCCTATGCCGATGTCCAAGTAACACCTTGCAAACATCAACTGCTGCATGCAGCAGCCCTACCAATTGCAGCAACTGTTTGGAGATCAAAGAGGCAAACTTGTCTCTGACCAATTTCTCGTATGTCCTGAGCTTCAACACACACTTGAAAACCAATCGAAGTCTGTTCATGTGAGAGTGGTCAGAAGCAGCGCATTTTTCATCAGCACGCAATGTCCTCCGTTGACATGCAAGCTCGCTTGTGGATATTCAAATGATCTGAAACGCAGAGTTTAAAAATGGTCTCTGTCCCCCCGCGTCAGGCTGAGCCTTGAGCCGCGCTGGCTCTGCTCCAGTTTAAAGCCATTTCCACATTGCAAGTTTACAATCATTTTGACTCATCGGAGAATTTGGATGCCACTTGGGCAGCAAATAGGCCGAAGAAGAGGGAGCCGGCAAATCCAGTGAAGACCCACGAGTTCTCCTCCAAAAACCAATGGAGCTACATTCGCTACATGTCAGTCTGGCACGTAACTTGGTATAACGAATTTCCCTTTCCTTACCTGTCTAACTTCCCGATTGTGCATGACTGCACATCCTCATCGAAGGCTGAATAGCTCCCTCTGTAGGGCGAATAATCCTCAGAGAAATTCACTCTGCCTTTGGCAAACCACCCACTTCTGCGCACGTGTCATTTTGCCAAATCAATGCAGCAGAAGATCATCCGCTTTCGCAGCAGCTTCACTGAGAAGCCATCCAGATGCCCCCAGAGCACCCGAGACAGTAGCAGCCTGCTGCGTCCTTGCCATCCCTAGGCGCTCGAAAACAAAAAGCCACAACAAGAGCAAAACTTGGTGCGCACAACCGCAAGGCAACATCTTGGCACGGCAGCGTCCTTGACCTGCAATCCCATGGTGGCAGGAAGCCAGTAAGATGGGTGTTCATCGCTGCGAGCATGATTGCCTCAAGTTTAAAGATTCCTAAAATGCAAACGCACAGCAACAAATAACAGCCCCACAGAAACTTTTGGTTGTCTCTATTTCGAAAGCCTTTCAACAGCATCAGCAAGCAAACACTCCCAAAGCTTTGACCAGCTGTCCGCAAATTTATGATGTTGCGGTGTCGTGCTCACGCACATGACTGAAAGGCAGCTGGGTGGCAGCCCATACAATCAGATGTCCTCTGCGGAAAACCATGCCCACAGCGTAAATCAAAGCCAACGTCGAAGGATTAAATACATCAACTGCAAAACAGCTGCGGCATCATTGATAACAACTACGCATGTGTTGCATGCTGTTTCACGCTTTATGTCTCCGCTTGATGCACAACTTCTGATCAACAGGCTACTCTGAGCACCTTGCTTGGCTTGTCTCTGCGTGTCATAATGGTCCTTACTCACAAGGCCGCAGCAAAGACTGAATCCAAACTCTAACCACAATTTCACATGTGCTAAAATTTGGGCACACAATTTGTTGCATTTTCCGTGCCCAAGGAGCATAAATGAAGTACGCGGGAATGCAGCCGCCAATACCAAACGCAGCCTGCCAAATCGTGTCTTGATCAAATGATGCGCGTCCCCCCCCCCCACACATTGCAGAGCTGTCCAGAACGTTGAATTGCTTTCAAATTGAAAGATTGGTGCAAAAAAAACCAATCATTACTTCACGTCCTAACTACGGGCTACGGTGGCTCACAAAACAAGCACCACAGTTGTTCTGTGTTTGTGGAAACATGTGACAAACATGCTGGAGCCGCAGGCCCAACCCATCTGAATTGGTTCGCGGTCGACCTCACAGCTCAGTGTATGCATGCAAAAGCAAGGACGTGCCAAACGTTTCATCAATCTGCGCCGCCAACCCGATTTGACGGGCCGCATTGCTGAACATAGCAAGTAATTCAAGGGCTTAACGCACTCCACAATTGCTTGGCATGTGCGCCATGCTGATTAAGTGACATCTGCTAATTCAGAATGTCAAGGACGATATCCCTGTCATGATGCCTGTCATGTTCCTTGCGCAGCAATTAAATACTTATTAACCGCTAAAGGCAGCACAAACTCTACATCAAAAGCGAAAAGCCGCTTTGATGTTGAACTGGGAAGAATAGAAACTTGCTTAGCGGCCTGTCCATGGTTTCTGAAAACAAGTTTTAACCTAAGTCCGTTGAAATCTTGAGCAATGACAGCTTCATTGCATGCATTGGGTGTGTGCAAAGCATGTCATTTGATGGAAAAACCGTGAAAAGGTCAAGTCTCTGCAACACTAAAATTCTACGCACGCACGCTCGTGTCATTTGCGGAATGTAAATCATTCCCATCTACGTCACAACCACGGGACACAAAAACAATAACCAAAGTCACTTGAAAAACTGAGCAAATAACAAA